TAACGCAGTCATGTCACAAACTCTGTTGGCGACAACGTCGTTCCCAGGTTCCCCCTCCTGCAAACGATCGAACGTCCGTGACACCCAAAGTCATCGATGCTTAAGGTCCCTAATGTCACGCGTTTTAATAGCCAGTGTAAAGTTATCACAATAGTTACAATTACGTACACGTATGCACGCAAGCACGCATACCCATCCATACAATAATTCCGCGAGACAGGGCCTTTAGTTTGAGCCTCATTAAGATTTTGGGCAATTGTCAGAGAACCCTGGCTTCAGATAACATTACTACAAAATACTATCAGGAGTTCGTCTCTTTTTTTCCGCGTGGTATGCACTACGCCCTCAGTGTTCCAGCACGTGCTGTGAAATACATCGAGCTTACTACAACAAACTTACCTCTCTCCGCCCTCCGATTGATGCTTCCCCAGCAGCAAAAACAATAACAACAACAACAACAACAAAAGGACCACATTATTCCGTATGAAATTGCAGACCCGAAACCGGGATGAATAGTGAGAAATCAGTTGGGAGAGGAAGGGTTGGGGCTTATGGCCAACGCTCAGTTCTTCGTTGGCAAAAGTTAAAGATGTTACTTTTTCTTTCTTTCTTTCTTTCTTTCTTTCTTTCTTTCTTTTTCTTTCTTTCTTTCTTTCTTTCTTTCTTTCTTTCTTTCTTTCTTTCATCCTTCAATCACCCTGTGTAGATGGGAGCTATTCTAGCCTGTCACAATTACAGGCACTGGGCGCTATACCACATCAAAAAGGTTGTTATCTCTTTCTTTAAAGTTAATGTTATGGTTTTTGTGTTTGTTTGTTTGTTTGTTTGCTGGTTTGGTTTTCGCATTTGTGACTCTTATTTTATTTTAATTTTGCCATGTTTGCGATTAAACGCCACCCTTTCGTTATTAGGGAGAACATCAAGCCGCAGTGGACGTTTATGACGAGAAGGTGTAGTGCAAAAATGATCGATAACCTGCGTTTTATTTTGTTATTTCTAATTCTCAGCAGATCAAATCTGATTGGTACATTCACGACCTGCATGTCAAATTAAAGTTATTTCTATGCCAATTTCTTTTTTTTATTCGCACATTACTTGGAGATTAAAATTATAATAATATTTTCTTTCTCTCTAGAAATGCGAGATACTTCATGTGTGTTTATACAGTATCGTACACCTAGAGGGTAAATACATTACAGTGACCTCGTTATGGCGCTATTTGAATTGATATTATAACTATGCAGCTTTTCTTTCTTGGTCAAAGGTTGGGAAGCGTTGCCATTCTGGTGCCATGCTTGACTTAGTGGACGTTTCCTCACTGCTCTACAGACTTCAGTTGGAAGGTAACGAGATAACACGTACCTGCAGATGTGTTGTGAATATCATTATTTGTTATTTTGTCGATCGATCGTTTGATCTATCGAGCGATTCATAAATCAATCCATGGCACAATCAGTTCTACTAATCATTTGGCAGTCAGTCTACTAATTATTCAACCATTCAATTAATAATTTATTCAATAAATAGATCAAGGTATTATTCAAATAATCTAAGAATCAATCGAGATCAAGCCTTAAAAATTAAGCATTATTAATCATTGTAATGCAATTATTGTATACTGAGGTTATTGGCATGGCTGAATTAAACGCACGACTTGATCCATTTTGTTTTACGATGTTTTTTGTTGTTTGTTTGCTTTTTTCCTTTAGGATCGGTGGAGAGAGCTGTTTCATTTGTGGGAGTCACACACAGATGATCACATTCTGGTACGTGCTATACGTTACGCGGAGGTGTAGCATACAATAAATTATCATCTTTATAAGCAAGTTGAGGACAGTCGCAGGTGCTTACTGCGATGTCAACAAACCTTGCAAAATGCGAATTACAGTCTCTCTTGAGAAACCTTTGATGTGACATTTATCAAATAATGGTTAAAGGGAACCTCAACTCTTCTAACCAATAGCGCTCAAACTATTCCAAATGTATTTCTCGATACGCTTTTCATTCCACTAACTTATTCGTGCTTTTCTCTTTGCCACGTTCCCACCAATAACGTAGCTCCATTTTCTGCCTTTAAAAGCACACACAACCCACATTCCTCTATTCGCTCCGACGAAGGGCTAACGCTCGAAACGTCAACTTTTGTAATCGTTACGGTGGCCAATTTATTATTTCAACTTTGTTGATATATCCAAATTATTTCGTTACCCCCACCGATGCAGCCCCAAACAGCCTTTATTTCTCGATACATCTGGTTTGAAAAAAATTGTCTTATCAAGCATTCCGTCTTTTTTTCCTCTCTCTTTGTGCTTTACATGTATGCTAAGTGGGAAATGTCTATCGCACAGTCTCATTTACTCCTAAGGGGATGTTTGCCATCACCTGGAACTCCTTGCGTATGTTTGAGTTCCCGGCTTCTGGAATTTGATAGTAACCGTTGATTTCAATTTTCAAGAGTATCAAAAGTAATCGGGGATTGCTTAGATTTTGCCTCACTCTGTTGGGTGATTGGTCTAGAAAACCCATAACACCTGTTTAAACCAGTCAGATGCAAACCTTAAACCAATGGTAAACTGGGTACCCCCGCGTTTTCCCGCGCCCCGAGCAGTTCTAATTTTGAGTCCTCATTGGTTCTTAGTGATAGTTTAATTTCTTTCCTTATAATTGGCTGATGTGATTACTTTGGTTTTTGTTCACAATACCCAATCGAGAATCGCCCTCTTTTCCTGGGTGGTCTTGCACAGTGAAAAATACAAGCCATTACTTTCACCCCGACCTCTCCTCACCCAAAGCCCAGGTCTCTCACACATCCTTCATTAGCTATTGTTTAATTAATTTTTTTTACATATTTTATTTAATTATTATATTTTTCAACTCAGGTTTTCAATGATGTTCATATGTTGATGTGTACACTGGGAGCTAAGAAGGAAGATGCAACACTAAATCTATTGATGTCACTTAGAGATTATGTTAGGTAATATGGAAAAAAGTGTAGGAGAACGCTCTGATCAACAACCTGTCATTCAGTGAAAGAGTGTTTAGTTATCTCTCAAGCGTTGATGGATTTGTGGCATTCTGA